GAATACGCAGGTAAAAAATTGTGATATTGAGTGGGTGATAAGAGGACAGGAGATATACCAAAACTATTTAGCAGGCAGTTGTTCAGAGGATCGACTTAACATTACTTTCACAGATCTGTAGTGTGGTGCTAGGAATGACAAGACCAATGAAAATGGCGACTACGATGCTGGCGAAACATCAGGTAATGTATCATCATTAAAGATGTCATGGACTCCTGACAAAATGTATTAATTTAGGTCACCTTAAGAATACGACCAAGTTGCGAAAATGAGGTCAAACCACTTATAGGATAAACGCCACTTTTAAGTCAGGTGAATATATTGAACAAATCAAAATTAATGACTATTTAGTGTTGTCGCGAAAAGAGGCAGGTATTAAATAATCAGTAAAAACTCCAATGGACAGGGCATGTCTTTTAACAATGTCGATCTGAGTCAATTTTTAGTATTTCAAGTAATTACTCATATAAGAATTAAATACACTATAAATATTATGATGATTATGATAGTTGTGCAACCCCAAGTCTAAGATCCATATTAGTTTAATGCATCTATGACTCGATTGTAGCGCTCTAACAACAAATTCATTCCATCATAAAAGAAGTTTCGTCATTCTAATACCAAATTAATATTGTGTGTTAACTAATGGTCTCAAGAGATTTGCGGTGCATAGACATTAAGGATAGGAACAAATTCGACTTATTTAAGAAATGAAGACTATTAATTAAACAAATATTATGTAAATTTGGGTACGATGAAACTCCAATATTGCTTAATTACTTAAGAGATAATAAGAGCATGAAAAGTGTTGAGAGATCGAATAAAAATTATTGTGATGTCATAAGAAGATTCTGTGCTTGAATTAAATTTATAAAAGGTAGATCAGTTGAATATCAACGTATAGCTGGACAAACTTGGAAAGAGTAAAGGCCCTCAGGAGGATTACTATGGCCGGATGGAGGCTCGCCGTGTTCCACAAGAGAGGTCCACACGAGGCTGGGATCCAGATGACAAAGTCTAATCAAACTGTCAACAGAGGCCTATCATTAAGAAGATAATAGCACATAAATTTAAAAAAATGATTTATTTGGATATTTCGGCTAGAATATATAAAATAAAAAGCATATATCAAATTATCAAATTATAAATATAAGACGATGCATAGGGAATAATTGTTTTGAAACACACATGTATGATAAAAAAGAAATCATGAAGAATTTGAGCAATAAATAATTTGGGTCATAGCTACTTTTTATACGATCAAATTATTTTAAAAATTAGGCAATATCGATTAGCAACATCGATCTCATCTGAAGGCCAGACACTCCGATTTATCAAAAGCTCAGCTTTTTGACCTTGTTTTCGCAACATGGTCATATTGGCAGGAAGACCTAGAGGAACGCATCCTGTCCGGATTCAATTCTATGCATGACAATTTCCAAAATCAGACCGTGGATGTGGTACTTCCCCAGAAGTTTCGCCGGCATCGTAGTCGGCATCGTCAGTGAGCCTTGCCATTCTTAGCACCACACAACAATTTGTCAAAAAGACAAAGAAAATAGATCCTTTGACTAAACAGTTGTGTTATCTATCCTTCTGTCCTGGGCTATTCACCTATCCTATATCCTCGTATCACCCTTTCAATATCACAATTTCTTACTTGTTTATCTAGACTTATTTAAAACCTATTAACACTCCCTGTTGGTTTCCACATCCCTCTCATTGTGTTAGGGGGTGTTGATCCAATGCTACGGTTTAATCCACAATCCTCTTCCATCTGGTCCCCTTATTGACCCGTAGGATCCTTCTCTTATATGCCTGTTTCAATTATTTCACTCTATCGCTGCCACTGTATCCGTGCTACTCATAGCGTGATGTTCTACACCCTAGCTCAAGCAATTAATAGCACGTATACACCAACCTCACCGGACAAACCCCTAAAATCTGGATTCTTATTTGGCATGGCAACATAACTTGACGCTGCAGATTCCCTTATCACTATTCTGCATGTACACCGAGTAAATTTCGTGGTCAAGTCTTTATGGACTACGTCTATGAGCAAAATTATGTATTAATAGCCACCACCGTTGTTTCGCCCTTTTATCCCTAATAGTTAGTAGAAAACAGCAACTCTATAAATAATTGCAGCATTGGAAGATGGGCTTGGAACACTACAAGGCATTTGGCAAAGCATAGTCGGCAATGTTACTGAGCCTTGTCAGTCGTCATCACACAACAAGCCGTCAAAGAAACCAATGAAGTCGGTTATATAATCAATTGTCTGAGCATATAAGTAGAGTTTAGAGACTACCAGTATATGAGTTATATGAGATGTTTCAAGTCATTTCGTTTAAGGTGATGAAGGACTGGTAGTAGAATATTCCCACAATGATATGAGTAGAGCTGACGTTTTCATTGGATTTAACATCGAACCGTGATAGTGCAATATGTTCGACTTCAGCTGGGGGTGTTGATAAGACCTATGCGATGTCGAAACTGCAGTCCACCCTGGATAATAATTACTTTTGTGAAAGCAAGGCTATGTGAAATTCACTGGAAAGCATTAGCTCTACTCATATAATTGTGGGAAAATTCTACTGCTAGTCCTTCATCACCTTAAACGAAATTGGGTGAATACATCTCATTAAATTGTCTGCGATACAGTTGTGAATCTCTCCTATCCTCGTATCGTATATCTTCGTATTACGCCTTCACTACCAATATATCTTAGTTGTTTATTTAAGCCTAATCGAAGTATCCCATTTTAAACCCACTTACTGAGACTTATTCATACTCCCACTGGTTTATTCATCCACCCACTTGAATAGGAATGTTGATCCGAATTTACCCTTTGAGTCCACAAGCTTCTTCATTCAGGTCCACTTAGAGCCTCCCGATTGCCTCATAGAACCCTTCCCTCACTTACCTGATTTACTGATTTCAGCTGATCACTGCCACTATATCCCTGCCAATAAGGCATTATGTTCCACTATATGTCAGAATTGATCTAGTATCGACTTCAGTTGCCTCTTCAACGAGTTGTAGTGTGATGCTAAAATGGCAAAGCTCATTGAAAATCCCAGTGAAACGTCTGGAAATGTTCCAAGTCCATGGTCTGACGCTGGAATTTGCTATGGTTATAAGGACTAAGGATAAGGTTACTTCCTCTATGACTCCGTGAAAATAAAGTAAAGTTGCAAAAACAAGGTCAAATAACTTATCTACAACGAAACCAAACTGCGAACATAATATAAACCATAAGAGCTTGGTCTTTACATTTACATTAATAGTGCCAAATTGAATCTTGTCGTTTGAATCGGCCATAAATACCATTAAGGGAGCGGAACTATGGCATTAAGCCTCAAGTGAATATGCCAATTTTGTCTACAAAAAAACGATATATCTGTACCACCCAAATAGCTCTAATTATAGAATGCTTAGACTATAGCAATTTTACACATATACTCGGGTTAATGCGAAAATGTGCATGTCTAACATATCCCTTAAATAATATAAAGGAAAGAGGGTTTCACAATAATACCTAATGGTCTAATTGGTCACTGAAATGAAGCACTGTGGAGATATAGAACGTAATGTCAGCTAAAGATAATTGTCTCGAAGAGCGACTAAATAACTAATGTGCAAGGCTTATGTCGTATCATTATAGAAGAATGAGTAGAATTGATGTGGCTTAGCTCTTGTTTTATGTGACTGCTAATGTTAAGTCAATCGTGCAATGTACAGAATTAAGTGGTGACATTGAAGTTGGGGTATTTTATAAAAATAAGAGATAAAGCCGACTTGCCATTTGCAATTCGTCTGGCTGCCTCGAATCAAGATAGAGAATCAAAACATTGACAACCGGTCGCAAAATAGATGTAAAGAGTCCAAGCTAATAGAGGAAGAATGGGAAATTAGAAAAAAATATGTCTTATGGGTAAGTGTAATCTTGGAATATGTGTTTGAACAGAGGTATGATGGTAAATTAGAAGAGTCGGTAAATGATTAAATAAGAAAAAAATCGAAGTAGCGGGTCTCGAAAAGAATATGCAAGCATGCAGCGTAAACAGTTTTACCATACAGATAGAAAATTAAATAACTAAAATATAGAATTCAAAGTAAAAGAGACTATTAATGGATCTCTCTCTAAAAGGAATAGGTGAATAAAAATGTCAAATAATTATTTAAATGTATGCTAACAAAAGCCTAGCCTGTAGATAAATACTAGAAACGTCAAAATTGCCTAGCCACTGTGAGCAATTAGGTAGGCAGATAAGGACAAAAATAATAAGGAAATTAGGAAATAATGGGAGAGGTTATAAAGTATAAGTTGAAATAGTGTTGGTTTGACCTCAATTGCGGAACTTGGTCGGAGCATCAGGGAGACCTAGCCGTGTGTCCTCTGCCATAGTATCCATGATTTCCAGCATAAGACCGTTGGTTTGTTACATTCCCGAACGTTTCTCCGACGCCATCATTAGGACAGTGATACAACTTATTAGTGACAAGTGAAGGCAATCAAATTGGCCAATTTTTTGTTTAGCTGTTGTAGCATTACTCATCGTCTCCATTTTTGTTCAACCTTCTAATGCTACATCTCTTCTTCTCAAACCTACTTTTTATTGCCCATTTATCTATTCGCAAAATTGTG